TTAATACTTGAAGTGTCACAGTTTGCTCAAAGCACTTTGTTTTGAAATATTAATTGTAATTAGCATATGTCATTTTGAAAGTTTAAGATTTTATCAAAACATTATAGGATTAGGCTTTGTTAATTAAAGTCTATTTTTGCTAATGAGAGTAATATTTACATGTCGAGTATTATTGATCTATTTTTGGATTTAGTATAAATAGCGTTCTGAAATTTAGGAAAATCAGTCACCTTTCGGAAACCTTAACTTGCACTGCTAAAGTCTATTATACTGGATCTGTAAGACTGTTGATCAGTCTACCAGTTGACTTTGTAGTGTTTAGACAAAAATGTATTTTTGACTCACCTTTTATTTTTGAGAAAACTTTAGAAAACAGTCAGTGTTTCGGAAGCGTAACCTCTCACTACTCACGTCATGATACTGGACCTATAAGACTGTCTACCAGTCTACCAGTTGACTGTGTAGTGTTGAGACAAAATTTATCTCTGACTCATAATTTAACTTTAGAAAATACTTTTGGGAATCTTTTATTTTTGAGACTTTTACATTTTGATTTTGAGATTAAGTTCATTTTATGATTTAGTAGTTTTGGCATTTATTTTACATTTTACATTGTAAGGAGAAATAGTTTTACTTTGGAGTTGATATTTAAATTTGATACTTTGTACTTTAATTATTATTATTATTTGGCATTGTTTACAAATTGATTGTTATCATCATTCATCAAAATTGTTATCGTTGATTAAATTATGAAAACCTTCCTTGCGTTTTAGCTATGCCTATCAGAACATTAAGTCTAGTGATAGACTGACCTCCTGTCCCTTGGTTCCAGCACATACGAGTTAGCTCCCCCTTTTCTAACAGTGCTCTGTGGGACCTTGGTGACAGATATGGTGGAGTTTGACCCTGGGCATGATACTAATGAAATTCTGAAACTGCATAGCTAGAATGTAGGTTGGCAAAATTCATTCAAAATTATCTAAAACTTAAATTTTCAAAATTGAGACAACAGCAGTAGAGACAATAAGGAAGAGAGAACCAGTAACAGCAGAGACAAGTTGCAGATTCAACAACACACAACTAAAAGATAAGTACATCTTGCTTATTATATTACACTTTGATATTTTTTAGTGAAAAGTATAGATGTATGTTGATTCTTGGTGTGAATCTGTAATTTTATAAAATTTGTCAACTTTACAGAAGTTAACATTCAATTCAGGAGAAATATTATTTGTGCAATTAATTTTATATGATTGGGAAATTTGACTCATAGTAGAGAGAATATAACATAAACAAGATATTGACAAAAATTCCTTTTAGTTTCAGTTTGGTAATGGGAATAGAAAAATCATGGGAAGAAACAGAATTTTAAAAGGATGGTGCTGCAAAAAAGACAGATGTGCCAGGCTATCCAGTGTTATACCAGGAACAGCAAGTATCCAGTTCACAACAACCATGGAGAGGAACTTTGTCGAAATTGGACTAGAGAACCTTCAAGTGAGATGTTTAGTCGACAGTGGAGCTTCTTTTAGCTGTATCAGCCAACATCAATTATACCGTCTAAACACTACTACAGCGATACAGAAATCAACGATCAACAGTGCAGTCGGTGTCTGTGGAGAAGTACATGCAATAATCGGTGAAATAGTGCTACAACTTTCTTTTGGACAATACAAAGTTAACCAGAAATTCATAATTTTTTAACATAACTTGCTAGAGCTTATTTATTGGATTAAACTTTTTGTGAAACAACAAAGCAAAAACAGACTAAAAGAACAGAACTTTGACATTACCAACTCAGATCATTAAGACATTAGTGAATATCATGATGGTGCTTATCATGTTACCATAGCAACCTTACAAGACAGTAGAACATAGAAAACAATCAATTTCTATCTTTTTTTTGTGGTATATGGAATTAGTAGGAGTGCACGCCTGTTGATTCTTTTTACTACATCAATTTGAATTTTGGATTACAGGGATATTATTTTATAATTCATCTGTTAAATTTCCTAACAAGGAATACAGGTTGCTGGAAGCTAGCACATTGAAATAAATTGTTGGTATATTTATTTTTTTTGCACCAGGTTATAGTTTGTACAGAGTGTATTCAGATTTTTATAGGGGTAACTAATGTGAATGTTTATATCATGTTTGGGGACAAACATATAAGAGTAGGGGGGAATATGTCATGGTGTGTTATTTGGCTTATATTTGTGTTAGTGTTATTTTGGATAAAAAATATGTTTTATTTTTTAGAAAGAAAATTTTAAGTTTGTATTTTGTAACATTTTTGATTAATTTTGGTTTAATTGATTTTTACCTATGCTGTGGCATTAATACTTGAAGTGTCACAGTTTGCTCAAAGCACTTTGTTTTGAAATATTAATTGTAATTAGCATATGTCATTTTGAAAGTTTAAGATTTTATCAAAACATTATAGGATTAGGCTTTGTTAATTAAAGTCTATTTTTGCTAATGAGAGTAATATTTACATGTCGAGTATTATTGATCTATTTTTGGATTTAGTATAAATAGCGTTCTGAAATTTAGGAAAATCAGTCACCTTTCGGAAACCTTAACTTGCACTGCTAAAGTCTATTATACTGGATCTGTAAGACTGTTGATCAGTCTACCAGTTGGCTTTGTAGTGTTTAGACAAAAATGTATTTTTGACTCACCTTTTATTTTTGAGAAAACTTTAGAAAACAGTCAGTGTTTCGGAAGCGTAACCTCTCACTACTCACGTCATGATACTGGACCTATAAGACTGTCTACCAGTCTACCAGTTGACTGTGTAGTGTTGAGACAAAATTTATCTCTGACTCATAATTTAACTTTAGAAAATACTTTTGGGAATCTTTTATTTTTGAGACTTTTACATTTTGATTTTGAGATTAAGTTCATTTTATGATTTAGTAGTTTTGGCATTTATTTTACATTTTACATTGTAAGGAGAAATAGTTTTACTTTGGAGTTGATATTTAAATTTGATACTTTGTACTTTAATTATTATTATTATTTGGCATTGTTTACAAATTGATTGTTATCATCATTCATCAAAATTGTTATCGTTGATTAAATTATGAAAACCTTCCTTGCGTTTTAGCTATGCCTATCAGAACATTAAGTCTAGTGATAGACTGACCTCCTGTCCCTTGGTTCCAGCACATACGAGTTAGCTCCCCCTTTTCTAACAGTGCTCTGTGGGACCTTGGTGACAGATAGATAATTGAGAGAGTTTTACTTGAAACAAATTGTATTGAAATATATGGTTGATAATCAAATAACAGTTGTTAATTATTATTCATCATAAATATTTAATTGTAATAAAATATACAGAATCCAATAGATGCCATAAAATTTATAAGGAAAAGGTTTGCAATTAAACAGATGCCACTGCAATAAATAATTTTGATAGTGCAAATCTCTCTATTTGATAATTATTTTGAATCGTTTTTTGTTTACAAAGCTTTTAACAACTTGGTGGTCTATTTACCATGAGTAAATTCAAAAGTAATGGAGTCAGCCATCTGAACTGGATCAAACAATTATAAATATGGATCAATCTTTGTATTCTACATTGATTTCTGGGTCAATTGTTAAAATACTATGAAAGATTTGCTATTTGTTCAAATGATTTTGTGTGTTTGATATCCTCAGAGAAATATGTATTTTGCACTAGCTTTGAAATATTGCAACTTTTTTGTATTCTTTGGAGAAACTTCCTACATGAGCAAGCCAAATATCTGACCTACTTAATAATTTCTGTTCTGTTTATTCACTGCTTGGTCAATCTTGTAGATTAATCACACACAGTCAATCTCATAGATTAAACACACACAGTCAATCTCATAGATTAATCACACAGTCAATCTTGTAGATTAATCACACACAGTCAATCTCATAGATTAAACACACACAGTCAATCTCATAGATTAATCACACAGTCAATCTTGTAGATTAATCACACTCACAGTCAATCTCATAGATGAATCACCCACAGTCAATCTAGTAGATTAATCACAGTCAATCTTGTAGATTAATCACACACAGTCAATCTCATAGATTAATCACAGTCACAGTCAATCTTGTAGATTAATCACACACAGTCAATCTTGTAGATTAATTACACAGTCAGTCTCATAGATTAATCACACACACAGTCAATCTCATAGATTAATCACACAAAGTCAATCTCGTAGATTAATCACACACAGTCAATCTTGTAGATTAATCACACACAGTCAATCTCATAGATTAATTACACAGTCAATCTCGTAGATTGATCACTCACAGTCAATCTCATAGATTAATCACACACAGTCAATCTCATAGATTAATCACACACAGTCAATCTGGTAGATTAATCACAGTCACAGTCAATCTCATAGATTAATCACACACAGTCAATCTGGTAGATTAATCTCAGTCACAGTCAATCTCGTAGATAAGTATCACACACATTTCTACCTATAGATCCCAGTTTGTTGTTTCCATTCATTACATAATGCTTTAATTTGGATTTGAATTGATTGTTGTTTGCTGAATGTCCAGTGGTAATTATTTCAGGCATTTTCAGGGAGAACACAATTTGATAATTCACAAATTCCTTAGTTCTGCAAGGTAAAAGGTGCGGATTCAGACCTCCCCCCCCCCCCCCCCCCTTCCTAAAAAAGGTAAAAAATATATTTCAAAAAGTTTTAATTACAGTCAATTTTGTGTCAAAATATGGTCCTCTCATTCCTAATTCTCAGGATTCCCCTGCCTCCTTTCCAAACATCAAATCTTCAATCCTTTCTTGGATAAGTTGAATAGTAATTAGTATAATAAAAAAAAATGGTCGTGAAGTCAGCTGGAAAAGGATAAACACAAAATAAAGTTTACGCGAAAATTGGTGGTTTACAGGTTGCTAGTATCAATAGATATAGGTACAAATTACCATGGTGACGATTTATCAATACAAAAAAAGTTATTTTATAAACATTTTTACTTTGCAGACATTATCACAATCAAACTCACAAAAGTCTACAACAAGTACAGATGAAGAAAATGGCAGTGTTTGGAAGGGAATGAAAAACTTCGCTAATATGTTAATGGAAGATCCAGTTGTTGAAGAGGAGTTACCTCCCCCTGATCCTACAGAAGGCGTTGATTGTGGATTAGGAAAATTACAAATATCACTTAGTTATGATTTTCAGACTTTAACATTAACGTTAAAAGTGCTACAAGCAACAAATTTAATTGCCAAAGACTTTTCGGGAACTAGTGACCCTTATGTTAAAATATTATTACTACCCGATAAAAAACATAAACTTTTAACAAAAGTGAAGAAACGCAATCTCAACCCAAGATGGAATGAATGTTTCCTCTTTGAAGGTAAGTAAGAAATTACTTAAACTTATAAATCACATCTGATTGCTCGTTTTTGGGGTTCGATTTGAATTCTATTTTGATGCATTTGAACAATTGGTTGCTACAATGAAATCAATTTTACCTAGAACTAACATCTTACTTCACTTGACCTTATGTAAGATTACCTGAGTTCCACCTGAGCAAGTTTGGATTAGACATTTGACATCATTTTAAACAGCTCTTCACAGAATTAAAATAGATCAGACTGGTGCAAGAAACATTGGTTAACACATGTTTGGTTTCATTTGTAATTGCCCATAAAAAGTATGTGTACATATTGTTTTAATATTTGTAGTATATATAGATATAAGAAGATGTGGTATGAGTGCCAATGAGACAACTCTCCATCCAAGTCACAATTTGTAAAAGTAAACCATTATAGGTCAAATAACGACCTTCAACACGGAGCCTTGGCTCACTCGGAACAGCAAACTATAAAGGGTAGTTTTGATTTGATTGAGTTTATAAGAAAGTTGCCATGGTTCCCTTGATTGAATTTCTTTAAAAGTGTTTGCTGTGAAAATGGATAAAAAGAAATAAAACAAGTCAATTAAACAGTGGCAGTAGATAATAAACTTGTAGAGGTCTGAAACAGTTAGTTGGTGCTAACATTGTACATATATATTGTGATCTAAGAAAGATCTGACATTTATAAAACTTCCTTAATAAGTACATGATCATGTAAAAATGTCAGAAAACAACAGAAATAAAATGAAAATAAGATACAGATGCCTACAGGGATCAGAATTTTCTTTATATTCTAGCTGTACATCCATCTAACTCAATATAAGGAATAGATGTATTGTTAAATATCAATTTCATAATGACCTCATTTCAAGGATCATGTTTTCTTAGAAATAACCATAAATAAAGGAAATAGAAAATGTAATTTATAAATTAGAAATAGTCATAAAGACAATTCGTTTGATATTATCTATAAAGTGAATAGCTCAAACTATTGAGGACAGCCATTACTGAGGTGCACTCTGAAGAATGATTTGTTATCATACAGTCTTCATGTCACCAGATGTATAGATTTATGTCACAATATACTCATCATTCATAAAATATTGGACTTTCATGTGGTTTCATTGATTTTAACTGGCTCCCACTTTTACTCAGGAGAAGCAATTTGTTTAATTTGAAATTTTTATTCATTTCAAATTACATTTTGGTTTTGGAATTTTATTGTGAATTTTTTTTTATCAAATTTATCCCATTTTGTATTGTTAAATAAGACATTAAGGATTATGTACCCTTTTGCTGTTTCAATGCTAATCATATTGAAATTTTATAGAATATCCACAGCCTTTCCCTAAATGTACTCTAATATTTGACAATTCTGTACTTTATAGATAAGGGATTACTGCATGTAAATCTAGCATCTATTTCCTTTAAACAAGTTTTAATAAAATGAAAATAACGCTTTATAAATTGAGTGTGTAAAATGCCCTTTTCTGAATTTACACCTATCAAGAACTCTCAAACCCAATAACTTCAAAGCCAAAGATGTATAAATACTTGAATATTTGACCTGTATGACAATTAAGTAGGAACTTATAGAAAGAATAGCCAATTCTTCAAAGGTCAACTTTGCCTGAGGGAATTGGAATCTTAGATTCTTGATAACTTCTTAATTGATCAACTGAGAATTTAAGGAAAGTGTGTTATAAATCATGTCAGCTCTGAAGCACTGACTATTGATATGATGGTACCTTTGGTTATAAATCATGTCAGCTCTGAAGAACTGACTATTGATATGATGGTACCTTTGGTTATAAATCATGTCAGCTCTGAAGGACTATTGATATGATGGTACCTTTGGTTATAAATCATGTCAGCTCTGAAGACTATTGATATGATGGTACCTTTGGTTATAAATCATGTTAGCTCTGAAGTACTGACTATTGATATGATGGTACCTTTGGTTATAAATCATGTCAGCTCTGAAGGACTATTGATATGATGGTACCTTTGGTTATAAATCATGTCAGCTCTGAAGGACTATTGATATGATGGTACCTTTGGTTATAAATCATGTCAGCTCTGAAGTACTGACTATTGATATGATGGTACCTTTGGTTATAAATCATGTCAGCTCTGAAGGACTATTGATATGATGGTACCTTTGGTTATAAATCATGTCAGCTCTGAAGGACTATTGATATGATGGTACCTTTGGTTATAAATCATGTCAGCTCTGAAGACTATTGATATGATGGTACCTTTGGTTATAAATCATGTCAGCTCTGAAGGACTATTGATATGATGGTACCTTTGGTTATAAATCATGTCAGCTCTGAAGGACTATTGATATGATGGTACCTTTGGTTTATAAATCATGTCAGCTCTGAAGGACTATTGATATGATGGTACCTTTGGTTATAAATCATGTCAGCTCTGAAGGACTATTGATATGATGGTACCTTTGGGATTCAGTCCACCAGCAGCAGTATTAATTGACGAAAATGAAAATAACACTAAATATAAATTTGGTGCATACTAAAAAAATATAAACAACACGATATAAATTTCATGCATCCGAAGCAGAAACGCTCAAAGCTTAGTATTTGAAAGCCAAGGATGTATAAGAACCAAAACAATTGAAGAGCTATGTAACCAAATGGACCTATTAAAAATAGCCAAATCCATCTAAGGTCAACTTTGCCTTAGATAGTTGAACCCTTAGTTTCTTTATAATTTAAAAATTTATAAATGGACAATTTTAGAAAGGTTAGATATAGGAAGATGTGGTATGAGTGCCAATGAGACAACTCTCCATCCAAGTTACAATTTATAAAAGTAAACCATTATAGGTCAAGGTACGGCCTTCAACACGGAGCATTGGCTCACACCGAACAGCAAGCTATAAAGGGCCCCAAAAAATTACTAGTGTAAAGCCATTCAAACGGAAAAACCAACGGTCTAATCTATATAAAAAACGAGAAACGAGAAACACGTATGAACTACATAAACAGACTACAACTACTGTAATCAGATTCCTGACTCAGGACAGGTGCAAACATTTGCAGCGGGATTAAACGTTTTAATGGTACCAAACCTTCTCCCTTTTCTGAAACAATAGTATAACATCACAACATAGAAAAACACACTATAAAATATCAATTGGAAGGCTTAACTCAATCAAAAAATGTAAATTAACACACAATGAATGAATAAATTTGACCTGTGACACCTGAATGCAAATACATAGTTATAAATCATATCAGTACCGAAGTACTGACTACTGAGCTGATGATTCCCTCGGAGATTGATAGTCTACCAGCAGAGGTATCAACCCAGTGCTGTAAAAAGCGTTTTTTCTGTTTTTACCGTCATTAGGAACGCTAAAATTCTAAAGTATTTAATGTGACAGCAATATCGTGTAAAGAATGATTGTAAGGTGAACATGAATCCATCTATTTATCTGACCTGACCTTGACCTCACTTACAGGTATCATTGCTTAGTGTTAAGTTTGTATAATACCTGTATTAAGACTTCAATATTAAAGACTTTCAACATACACTTCAATGATAATCAGTAAAGAAGACCAAGCATTACAGGGTGTTGAATATGAATGGACAGAAACTTTTCTCATACACTTCAATGATAATCAGTAAAGAAGACCAAGCATTACAGGGTGTTGAATATTATATGAATGGACAGAAACTTTTCTCATACACTTTTATGAAAATCAGTAAAGAAGACCAAGCATTACAGGGTGTTGAATATGAATGGACGGAGACTTTTCTCATACACTTCAATGATAATCAGTAAAGAAGACCAAGCATTACAGGGTGTTGAATATGAATGGACAGAAACTTTTCTCATACACTTCAATGATAATCAGTACAGAAGACCAAGCATTACAGGGTGTTGAATATGAATGGACAGAAACTTTTCTCATACACTTCAATGATAATCAGTACAGAAGACCAAGCATTACAGGGTGTTGAATATGAATGGACAGAAACTTTTCTCATACACTTCTATGATAATCAGTAAAGAAGACCAAGCATTACAGGGTGTTGAATATGAATGGACAGAAAGTTTTGTCATACACTTTTATGAAAATCAGTAAAGAAGACCAAGCATTACAGGGTGTTGAATATGAATGGATGGAGACTTTTCTCATACACTTCAATGATAATCAGTAAAGAAGACCAAGCATTACAGGGTGTTGAATATGAATGGACAGAAACTTTTCTCATACACTTCAATGATAATCAGTAAAGAAGACCAAGCATTACAGGGTGTTGAGTATGAATGGACAGAAACTTTTCTCATACACTTCAATGATAATCAGTAAAGAAGACCAAGCATTACAGGGTGTTGAATATGAATGGACAGAAACTTTTCTCATACACTTCAATGGTAATCAGTAAAGAAGACCAAGCATTACAGGGTGTTGAATATGAATGGACAGAAACTTTTCTCATACACTTCAATGATAATCAGTAAAGAAGACCAAGCATTATAGGGTGTTGAATATGAATGGACAGAAACTTTTCTCATACACTTCAATGATAATCAGTAAAGAAGACCAAGCATTACAGGGTGTTGAATATTATATGAATGGACAGAAACTTTTCTCATACACTTTTATGAAAATCAGTAAAGAAGACCAAGCATTACAGGGTGTTGAATATGAATGGACGGAGACTTTTCTCATACACTTCAATGATAATCAGTAAAGAAGACCAAGCATTACAGGGTGTTGAATATGAATGGACAGAAACTTTTCTCATACACTTCAATGATAATCAGTACAGAAGACCAAGCATTACAGGGTGTTGAATATGAATGGACAGAAACTTTTCTCATACACTTCAATGATAATCAGTACAGAAGACCAAGCATTACAGGGTGTTGAATATGAATGGACAGAAACTTTTCTCATACACTTCTATGATAATCAGTAAAGAAGACCAAGCATTACAGGGTGTTGAATATGAATGGACAGAAACTTTTGTCATACACTTTTATGAAAATCAGTAAAGAAGACCAAGCATTACAGGGTGTTGAATATGAATGGATGGAGACTTTTCTCATACACTTCAATGATAATCAGTAAAGAAGACCAAGCATTACAGGGTGTTGAATATGAATGGACAGAAACTTTTCTCATACACTTCAATGATAATCAGTAAAGAAGACCAAGCATTACAGGGTGTTGAGTATGAATGGACAGAAACTTTTCTCATACACTTCAATGATAATCAGTAAAGAAGACCAAGCATTACAGGGTGTTGAATATGAATGGACAGAAACTTTTCTCATACACTTCAATGGTAATCAGTAAAGAAGACCAAGCATTACAGGGTGTTGAATATGAATGGACAGAAACTTTTCTCATACACTTCAATGATAATCAGTAAAGAAGACCAAGCATTATAGGGTGTTGAATATGAATGGACAGAAACTTTTCTCATACACTTCAATGATAATCAGTAAAGAAGACCAAGCATTACAGGGTGTTGAATATTATATGAATGGACAGAAACTTTTCTCATACACTTTTATGAAAATCAGTAAAGAAGACCAAGCATTACAGGGTGTTGAATATGAATGGACGGAGACTTTTCTCATACACTTCAATGATAATCAGTAAAGAAGACCAAGCATTACAGGGTGTTGAATATGAATGGACAGAAACTTTTCTCATACACTTCAATGATAATCAGTACAGAAGACCAAGCATTACAGGGTGTTGAATATGAATGGACAGAAACTTTTCTCATACACTTCAATGATAATCAGTACAGAAGACCAAGCATTACAGGGTGTTGAATATGAATGGACAGAAACTTTTCTCATACACTTCTATGATAATCAGTAAAGAAGACCAAGCATTACAGGGTGTTGAATATGAATGGACAGAAACTTTTGTCATACACTTTTATGAAAATCAGTAAAGAAGACCAAGCATTACAGGGTGTTGAATATGAATGGACGGAGACTTTTCTCATACACTTCAATGATAATCAGTAAAGAAGACCAAGCATTACAGGGTGTTGAATATGAATGGACAGAAACTTTTCTCATACACTTCAATGATAATCAGTAAAGAAGACCAAGCATTACAGGGTGTTGAGTATGAATGGACAGAAACTTTTCTCATACACTTCAATGATAATCAGTAAAGAAGACCAAGCATTACAGGGTGTTGAATATGAATGGACAGAAACTTTTCTCATACACTTCAATGGTAATCAGTAAAGAAGACCAAGCATTACAGGGTGTTGAATATGAATGGACAGAAACTTTTCTCATACACTTCAATGATAATCAGTAAAGAAGACCAAGCATTATAGGGTGTTGAATATGAATGGACAGAAACTTTTCTCATACACTTCAATGGTAATCAGTAAAGAAGACCAAGCATTACAGGGTGTTGCATTACAGGGTGTTGAATATGAATGGACAGAAACTTTTCTCATACACTTCAATGACAATCAGTAAAGAAGACCAAGCATTACAGGGTGTTGAATATGAATGGACAGAAACTTTTCTCATACACTTCAATGATAATCAGTAAAGAAGACCAAGCATTACAGGGTGTTGAATATGAATGGACAGAAACTTTTCTCATACATTTCAATGATAATCAGTACAGAAGACCAAGCATTACAGGGTGTTGAATATGAATGGACAGAAACTTTTCTCATACACTTCAATGATAATCAGTACAGAAGACCAAGCATTACAGGGTGTTGAATATGAATGGACAGAAACTTTTCTCATACACTTCAATGATAATCAGTACAGAAGACCAAGCATTACAGGGTGTTGAGTATGAATGGACAGAAACTTTTCTCATACACTTCAATGGTAATCAGTAAAGAAGACCAAGCATTACAGGGTGTTGAGTATGAATGGACAGAAACTTTTCTCATACACTTCAATGATAATCAGTAAAGAAGACCAAGCATTACAGGGTGTTGAGTATGAATGGACAGAAACTTTTCTCATACACTTCAATGATAATCAGTATAGAAGACCAAGCATTACAGGGTGTTTAGTATGAACGGACAGAAACTTTTCTCATACACTTCAATGATAATCAGTACAGAAGACCAAGCATTACAGGGTGTTGAATATGAATGGACAGAAACTTTTCTCATACACTTCAATGATAATCAGTAAAGAAGACCAAGCATTACAGGGTGTTGAATATGAATGGACATAAACCTTTCTCATACACTTCAATGATAATCAGTAAAGAAGACCAAGCATTACAGGGTGTTGAATATGAATGAACAGAAACTTTTCTCATACACTTCAATGATAATCAGTAAAGAAGACCAAGCATTACAGGGTGTTGAATATGAATGGACAGAAACTTTTCTCATACACTTGTATGATAATCAGTAAAGAAGACCAAGCATTACAGGGTGTTGAATATGAATGGACAGAAACTTTTCTCATACACTTCAATGATAATCAGTAAAGAAGACCAAGCATTACAGGGTGTTGAATATGAATGGACAGAAACTTTTCTCATACACTTCAATGATAATCAGTACAGAAGACCAAGCATTACAGGGTGTTGAATATGAATGGACAGAAACTTTTCTCATACACTTCAATGATAATCAGTACAGAAGACCAAGCATTACAGGGTGTTGAATATGAATGGACAGAAACTTTTCTCATACACTTCAATGATAATCAGTAAAGAAGACCAAGCATTACAGGGTGTTGAATATGAATGGACATAAACCTTTCTCATACACTTCAATGATAATCAGTAAAGAAGACCAAGCATTACAGGGTGTTGAATATGAATGGACAGACACTTTTCTCATACACTTCAATGATAATCAGTAAAGAAGACCAAGCATTACAGGGTGTTGAATATGAATGGACAGACACTTTTCTCATACACTTCAATGATAATCAGTAAAGAAGACCAAGCATTACAGGGTGTTGAATATGAATGGACAGACACTTTTCTCATACATTTCAATGATAATCAGTACAGAAGACCAAGCATTACAGGGTGTTGAATATGAATGGACAGAAACTTTTCTCATACACTTCAATGATAATCAGTACAGAAGACAAAGCATTACAGGGTGTTGAATATGAATGGACAGAAACTTTTCTCATACACTTCAATTATAATCAGTAAAGAAGACCAAGCATTACAGGGTGTTGAATATGAATGGACAGAAACTTTTCTCATACACTTCAATGATAATCAGTAAAGAAGACCAAGCATTACAGGGTGTTGCATTACAGGGTGTTGAATATGAATGGACAGAAACATTTCTCATACACTTCAATGTTAATCAGTAAAGAAGACCAAGCATTACAGGATGTTGAATATGAATGGACAGCACTCATGAAAGGATAAGGTAAAAGAAATTCAGTCAAGCAGAAAATAAGAGATTTTTTTAAAGCTTCCAATAATCTTTTTTGAAATCTACTTGGAAAAGTTTTTGTTGATTGGTTTGGTTGGATTATAGCTATAGCAAATAAAACTGAGCCATTATAAAACTTAACCTGATTTCCAATGGAAAACACTCATTTTCAAATAAAAAAATATTTAACTGTTGAGCAAGATCTGATAAAGAAGGATATAATGAGATTGTTGATCCTCACAATAATGACAGGACATGATGTGACATGTGTCATTTCAGAATTACATAACTCGGTACTTCTCTGCCTTCTAACATGCTAACATTTTAATGTCAGTTACTTCAAGCTGTGCAATTTTCTGCTGTTCAATATGTGACATAAGTGTTGAGTTAAAAGGTACATGCTGAAATGAATAGGTTGTTGATTTTTTTCCTTCAATAGCCCTTTGGATGTTGCAGTAATGTAATTGAATATTGAAACAAGTGTTTAATGTGTAGATTTTATCAAATATCTGTATTGCAAGAAGCATATCGATCTTATGTCTGAAACTTAAGTATTCTTGAGATATGAATAATGTAAATCTTAAGAAATTTTGAAAGACCATATAACAATGATTTGAAAAGACACATCTCAGTCAGGTGTTAGAATTACTCAACATGTTGACAAGAAAAACATTCAATAGTAACTTGTAACGTGAGATTTCAAAATAAATATCCAGAAGTCAAAATTTCATTTGTACCAATCCAATGTAAGTTTAGTTGTAATTGAAACATGAAATTATAGCAAAATTTTGAAATTATTGGTTTCAAGGAGATACAATGTTTCAGTACCTTGAACTATTCTTGTTTGTTTTTACCAATTTACCTTCCAAAGCTATGTTTGCTTTTACAATTTTCAGCATTTATGTCTAAGAAGCTCAATTTATTAACCAGTCATAAATATTATTGAAGAATATGATGTGTATAGTTATACATACTTAAATCTGAAGTGCAGTTTACAATAGGCATTTAAATTATAGAAAATTTATTATCATTTTCAGGTTGGCCGCATAACAAGTTATTGGAGAAGACATTATATTTACAAGTAATAGATTATGACAGATTTAGTCGAGATGACCCTATAGGAGAAACTTACATTCCTCTTAATGAAATAGATTTGTCACAATCTCCTGTGATGTGGAGGTTTTTACAACCATGTAAAGACAGTAGGGTAAGATATATAGTTTATGCTGCAGCCTATATGCAGTGGATTTTGTCATTTTAACCTGCGCATTTGTCTGTGTTTAGTTTATAGGATGAAAGAAAAGGATGTCATTGTCCGTGCTACAAGTCCAGTGCAGTGGTTGTTGTATCCATTTAGCCCTTCAGGCAACTATGGGAAGGAAATACCAAGTAGTATAGTGTACTTTTTATCACCCTATCTTTCCAAAAATACTGACCAAGATGCTGTTTGCCTAAAAGCTTTCATATTTGGTAAAATTATTTATCGTCATATCCTCTTTGGCCATACTTTCTTGCCTTTTTTTTAGACAGTTTTTGTAGGAATTATGGGAATGTTACCTTTTTAAAATTGTAAGCATTTACATTTCCATTTGATAGTCCTTGCTAGATTATGGGTCCTTGATCTTAATTTTTACTTTTGTTACACCTAACTACTGTTTAGACAAATGTATTGCACATGTACAGAGTAACTGAATGGCAGGACCTTTTGATACAGTAGAGCAATCTTGATATTTTTAACCAAACTCCTTTTAATTACTGAGATTTATAATTAAAGCAGTTAGAAACATTTAAGTTATTGCTTTCAAAGCTAAAGAGCATGTTTAACCCAGCTACATTTTCTATCTGCATGTTCCAAAGCCTTTTATGGGTGACTATATGGTATGAGATTTGCTCATTATTGAAGGCTGTTCAGTGCCCTATAATTGTTTACATCCTCTTCCTTTAGATCTGATGGATAGTTGTCTCATTGGCAATCATACTACATCATCCTATTTTTGATATAATATATTTTTTTGATCCTAGCTGTACCAGTATGTGATACTTAAGAACTTATCCATCTGACTTTGTCAATAAATATTCTTGACAATCTACGTCCTTCTCTTAAATGAATGAACTTGTGTTGAAAAATTGTGCTGACTTAAAATCACTCAGCAAAATAAATATACATACTGACAATAAACGAATCAAATTGAAAGAACATAAAGAAATGTCACCAATTTGAACCTGCTGCTTCAGACAAATTCTATTTGACCAATATTTATTGTGGCAAGATTAAACATTTTATTGAATCAGACTGTTTAAGCGGATGACGTTAACAAAGAATAGCTCAGATTTACTTGAATTGACAATTGAATTTGTTTCTTTTAAGTTCGAAAAGTTTGTTATCTTAATGATTTTTACTTTTTTAAAGAAGATTTTGTTTTTGTTACTCAGCTCCTGTTAGTCTTTCTAGTAGATTTAATAAGTGAAAATCTGGTGATGTCTTTGATATTAACATGGCGATTTTCATGGTGTATATTTAATAAGCATGGAGAATCGTTGTTGTCCTTGGATAATTGAGATGCAGGATAAAGTTTAATGAAACAGCAATCCAACAATACAAGATAAACAAAATATACATTATAATGGCCTTCAGCTATAGACACTGTATTAAGCCTGTTGTTTTCCTAATTGAAAGATTTATAATTTCAGGGTAAATTAGGAGAACTCTTGCTGTCATTGTCCTACCAGCCTGCAGTAGGACGTCTCACTGTGATAGTGATGAAAGCCAAAGATCTCAAGGCAAAAGACATAACTGGTGCTTCAGGTATAGACAACATCATTCATTACTTTATGTACTGTAGATTCAGATTTTTTTGCAATTACTTTATTATTGTTATTATATGTATTGCAAAAAATTGTGAATGGATATGTTTCACAAAAAAAAAAAGCTTGTATTTTAAATTTTAATAGTTTAAAAAAGTTGTATGCAGCATTCCTTAAGAATTGCCATAGTTTATCTTAATTTTTTGTCCATTGTACAACTATAACAATGATAAATGCATGCAAAAATCTCTGAATTTACAGTATTAAGAATTTGTCCTACAGAAGATTTTTTGTACCTGTATTGAATAAATATCATTTTAGTGCTCCACAAATTAGTATATTTTGGATGCATGTTAAGCTTGTAATATTAACTGTAAGTTAAAGACATCTTATAACTCATTGGCACCCCAAAAAAAAAACAGGTCAAAATCTCAAAATTCAAACCGATGCCATTCTAAGCTTTTATTCCATTTTTATACACCCTTCATAATTTTGACGGGATGTATTATGGTATACAAATGTCGTCTGTCCGTCTGTCTGTTATGCGTAAACATGTCGCACCGTAACTTGAGTAACATAGTTGTTTCTTATGATGGTAAAACGATCTGTATACTTTTTTGTGAAAATAAGATTAAAACTTTTTGAGTTACGGGACTTATAAACTAAAACAGGTGTGTTTTTTTTTTCACATGTCGCGCCGTATCTCAAAAAAAATTTATGATTATTGCTTAAAAATTTACACACTTCTATAGTAATCTTAAGATCTGTATACTTTTTGGTGATGATTCAAAATTTTATTTTAGAGGTATTGAGTATTTTGTAAAAAAAGGGGGAGGGTTTTTTCACATGTCGCACCGTATCTCAAAAACGATTTATGATTATTGCTTAAAATTTTACACACTTCTTAGTTATATTAATCTAAAGATCTGTATACTTTTTGGTTTTGATTCAAAATTTTATTTTTGAGATATTTAATTTTTTTTTTTTTAAAAAGGGGGGTTTCACATGTCGCGCTGTATCTCAAAAATAATTTATGATTATTGCATAAAATTTTACACACTTCTTAGTTATATTAATCTAAAGATCTGTATACTTTTTGGTTTTGATTCAAAATTTTATTTTAGAGATATTGAGTTTTTTGTAAAAAAAAAGGGGGTTTTCGCATATCAGGCTGTCTGTCAGAAACTATTTATGATTATTGCATAAAAATTCACACACAAGACGATGGGCGTATCATGCGCTCATGGCGCAGCTGTTTATTCAAACATGTAACTATAATTTTAATTTGTGAAATGTTTATATAGATATAACAAGTGCTTGCTAATAGTCAGGATGATTATTTATATATACGTGAAATTTTAGACCAGAATGACCGCTATGGTGAAATCTGCAGGGGAATCACATATGTCTGACAAAAACTGATATTTCCAGTACAAACAAAAGGACAAAGACTTGTGATGCTATGATGACATACTTTTGTGTAGAAGAGGGGCGAAAGATACCAGAGGGACAGTCAAACTCATTGATCGAAAATAAACTGACAACGCCATGGCTAAAAAATAAAAAGACAAACAGACAAATAAAAGTACACAAGACACAACATAGAAAACTAAAGACTAAGCAACACGAACCCCACCAAAAAATGGGGGTGATCTCAGTTTGACATTAAATCTTATTAAATCAACAAATCATTTTTTTACACAGAAATATTGTTATGAAATGATAAACATAATTCTTGTATTATTTAGTATTGTTTAGGCGGATCAAGTATGGCACATCAGGTAGGAGAAAGTCAGGGGTCACATGGAATTATGGGAATGCATGATAATATAATGAAATACAAACTTTATATGCAGATAAATCTTCATTTGATACATTGCCACTGGACGTTAAGCAACCAACAATCAATCAATCATTTGATACTGATAGGCTTCAACTATTGTATATCACTTGATATCAACTCTTGTTATTAAATTTCAGTATTGTTGAAGTGTTTTTTTGTATTACAATACTATCAATGATATACAAGACATATCTGTTCACGTCAGAAACAGAACATGACCATATAAGGAGAACAATATTTATAAGTATATGTTGTGAGTAGCTGATGGTCATATCTCCCAACTCCCTTACTTAGAGACATGGCAGGTATTTAACATAAGACTGTTTTATAGAGCAGATTGGCTACACTGTATGGCCACCTACAGGGGAACTTAGTTTAAGATTGCTCTTCAAGACCTTGTCAAGTACTAACCACATGCTTACTTTGATGTTGGTTACTCATTTTGATAGGTCACAAACTCTGATGATGTACCGGTAATGTATAATTATTCAAATATCAGAATTTAAGAAGGTATCCTTTGAGAATAGTACCAAATTTGGCCAAAAATATTAAATGTGCTAACAGGTAACACGGTATTTATATAATCCATTGGTAGGTACTGGAAAGATTTATCTGCATATAATGTTTTCATTCCATTAAGTATGTCCCTGAACTCCTCAACTTTGAACCACTGCTTCATACTACTATTAACTCTCCACTGCCTGGTGGAAATAGCAATTTATTCTCTGTTGTTTTTCTGCCTCTTATTTCAATAAATTTTTGAGTATTTGATAATTGTATGAATTTTATACATATGTGTTTGGTATTAGTTTAATGACATGGGTACCAGTTTCAGTGGTGTTTGGAAGAGTTCTATTACTTAAAAGACTATTACCAAAGATGATTCTGTTTTTGATTTATTAAGTAGGGGATGTAACTTAAGGAAGTAGACCAGGGGTAGGGGAGATAAATCTTGCTTAGGATTATTGTGTTTGTAATAGTGACTTATAAGCTCAGAATATATGAACAAACGTACTAGTTATGTAGAGTTGTGTCCCTTACTTTAGAGTCTACTTCCTTAAATGGTTGGATAAACTGGTTTTATAGTTAATAAGGAAGAAAGCATATGTTGTAATCTCCCACCAATTAAACCTGGGTTTTACCTTTACTGGACTGAATGTCACCACTTTCTTGTCATTCAGTATAATTTACACCATACTGCCTGTTATTACAGTAGATTGGTACCACACTCAGAAAACATATTACCTTCAACTGATTCTCAGATGATATCTTTTCTTTGTTGGGTAATCTACCATAACATTCTCCAATAAAGACAGTATGTCTATAATACTACATGTATCATTGCTAACTTTTGATATTCAAACAATTGTGAAATTTCAAATCTTTATAGATCATGCTTAATACAGTATTCCTTTTCATCACATTTGTGATAGCAGGGAACCAGTTTGTCCACTGTTGAGTTAATTACTTTGTAAAAAAAAAAAATGCAGAATCAGCTTTTGTAATATGAATTGTTTAATTAAATTTTTTATTTGCTTCTACCCTGGAAAACCTTTCAAATTATTATTATCCAATAAATCCATTCACAGAAGGATGTGGTAAGCTTGCCATGGATGATTTATCTCCCCTTTTCATACAATGCTGGTACAATTAAAGTGTGATTTATTATCTAACATTAACAATAGCAGTATAATTGTTTGTTTGATAGAATTAAACCAGGAAGTAAAAACTAATTAAAAAAAGATTGGAGGAAGATGTGATCAATTTACAGGAGACATAATCACACAAGAAATGTGGAAAAAACAACACAAACAGAAAGGATTTTTTTACAGATTACTTTTGTCGACTTAAAAAAAAAGAATAAAGAGAAACAGTAAGATTGCCAATGAGATAACTATCCACCTTATGGATGTAATTCATCAACTCCGTAATCCTTTCAAAATCTAGCCAATGCATCTTCAAAAAGCCTCTTCTATAAATAACAAATTTATGTAATACATGTATTTAGGTTTAAAAAAAAAAATTGTCATTTATTTTTTTTTTAAACATCAACTTAGAAATTGGAAAAATATTGAAAGATGTTAATTCATTTATAGTATTCTTATTGAATTATCTCCCTTTATAGTGTTGTATTCAAAATCAAAGAAGTTGAAGCAATGTTCAAATAATGCCTTTCCTAAGCAGTAATAGTGATCTTCTTAACTATTTCCACATTTCTCTGATCTATGAAATCACAATTACAACCTTTAATGGTATGTTCACATCAAGAATAAAAACACTTGCACCTAATCTACTTATCATCTTATAACTAGTATGTGGTAACCTAGTTAATCAATGTGTGGTAACCTAGTAACACAAGTAACTAATGTGTTTCATGTTGTATGATGTGATATCTCATGCAAACAATTATTCAAAGGAACAACTCTTTTATTTTGAAAATACAATACATGGTCGTTTTCTATTAGTCACAAAATTCATCATTCAGTGCCTGAAATGTTTAAATTGTCTACTAACAGGTATGTGACAACAGCACAGATTTATTTAAGAGGTTATTTTATCAGCATCTTTCCATCTAAATTTTTTACTGAAAACGGTAGTATTTATCCTCCATAGGTGAGAATACTAACATTTTCTAAATTTATCACTTTTTATAATAAAACCAGAACGAAAGAGATATGTGTGATATTAGTTCTTTATTACATGTATTCTGAATTAGAAATTGAAGTCAAATGGCAGCATGACCATCTTCGAATGGAGCATGTTTATAGTATCCATGGTCACTGTCATTTTACATCAAACTTATAAACATTTGGAAGCCTTTTTTAAATAATTCTCAGGAAATTTTTCCCTGTGTTTCAAAATTTATATTGTAAATATACACACTGCAATTATTCATAAAAAGATGAGAAAATATATTATACCCTTGCATCCAATCCAACACAAAAGGCCAACCTAAAGCCAGAAAAATGTAATACTACTTTTTTGCCTTTTAAGGCTCTGTCAATAATTCTGATCATCACAAAATTCTATGAGACTTATGTTCTCTACTCATGTTTTCAAGTTTTCTTTGCCCTGTTAATATTTTGTTACCTCTCTGGTTTTACCCTAGAAAATGCATTAAAAGGTTTTCCCCAGCAACCTCTGAATTTCTCAATATTTATGAGGAAACACTTCTCAAATTTCCAAATTTCCAATTTTTTTTAAATAACCTGAAAACAAAAAAAGACATTTCAAAGATGTTGGATTTAAGAGTTCTGTTGTTTATGTTCTATTAAGTTTTCTCAGGTTTAACTTATTGATTCTAATTTACCCTTGAGGTATTGATTTGACAGCCAGACACTGTCAAGGTGATGGTTAAATGTTTTGCAGTACTTTGCAGAAAATAATTTGGTTAAGGTATATATTTTAGTATGAGAGACATTCCGTTGTCCTAATTGATTGTCACATTGTTCCCTAAAGTGGAAAGAAAAAGACATTTAGTTTTATTGGGTAAGATTTGATTTCACTGCTGTAGTAAATCTTATCACAAAATAACAAAATTCAATTAAAAAAATTTCTGTAAACCAACTTATATTCACTATATTTGCCCTTTGTAGAGGACTTGGAGGCCATTTATTTGCCCTTTGTAGAGGACTTGGAGGTCATTTATTTGCCCTTTGTAGAGGACTTGGAGGTCATTTATTTGCCCTTTGTAGAGGACTTTGATGTCATTTTTTTGCCCTTTGTAGAGGACTTGGAGGTAATTTATTTCCCCTTTGTAGAGGACTTGGAGGCCATTTATTTGATCTTTGTAGAGGACTTGGAGGCCATTTATTTGTCCTTTGTAGAGGACTTGGAGGCCATTTATTTGCCCTTCCTAGAGGACTTGGAGGCCATTTATTTGTCCTTTGTAGAGGACTTGGAGGCCATTTATTTGCCCTTTGTAGAGGACTTGAAGGCCCTTTATTTGTCCTTTGTAGAAGATTTGGAGGCCATTTATTTGTCCTTTGTAGAGGACTTGGAGGCCATTTATTTGTCCTTTGTAGAGGACTTGAAGGCCATTTATTTGCCCTTTGTAGAGGACTTGGAGGCCATTTATTTGTCCTTTGTAGAGGACTTGGAGGCCATTTATTTGCCCTTCCTAGAGGACTTGGAGGCCATTTATTTGCCCTTTGTAGAGGACTTGGAGGCCATTTATTTGACCCGCCGTAGCGGAGGGGGCATTAAGTTTTACCCTTGTATGTATGTACGTCCCAAAGTTGGTTTCCATTCTCTAACTTTAGTTTGCCTTAACCAAATGCTATCAAACTTATACACAATGCTTATTACTACAAAACACAGATCTAGTTTGAATTTTGGTGGTGTCACTTTAACCGTTCTAGAGTTATGCCCCTTTACAAATGGAAAAATTGCTGAATTTTTCGTTTCTGTTCTCTAACTTAAGTTTGCCTCAACCAGATGTTATGAAATTTATACACAATACTTAATACTACAAAACTCAGATGAATAACAAATTTGGGTAGCGTCACTTTTACCGTTCTTCAGTTAAGTCCCTTTTATTTTAATGGATCCCAGTTTTATATATTTGGGACAATTTACATTCGTGTTATGTTTCTATTCACTAAAGGAAATTACTCATAGAAATGAGTTGGTTTACAGTAACAAATTTAAAGTAGATATGGAAAAGAAATATTCTATAAGATCTCTATTCTGACAAATAACAGCATTTATTTTACACTTAACTTGATGGAGATAGATATGAAGATGTTTTGTAGACGGCAGGTAATTGTTACATCATAAATCATCAGAAATTCCCAATGTTGTATGATTGACTTGAAAGAGCAATCTTCTCCAAAACCATCTTATCAATAAATAGATATGTTTTGCCATTGTTCGGTTTGAGATAGGTCATTTACTGTCTAACAATGTAGGTGCAGGAATATTTTATCACTTTGTATATTGGTCCCTAATTGAAAATTTGTCAATCATATTGTCATTATTCTGCCCACTAAGTTTGGTCAGAATACAGAGGGTCACCTTAATTGCTTTCAGCCAGTTATGTAACATATTTAGTTATTAACTCTACTCTTGAAAGACGGATATTTGTAAAATTGTCTACCATTTCTTGTATCCCTGATTGACATGGTATCGAGACATCACATGATAGAGCAGTGTTTCATCAACATGAATATAACTGACCAAAATCAGCATTTATTTAGAAATGTTCATTTGGCTTTTTTTTGTTTATTTTCTCTTAAAGATAAAATAATACATATGTATTATTAAAGATTTTCATATAAAAAAGATTCAGGTCATCACATGTTTATAACACAGAGTATTTATATTTTTAAGTCAATCATGTTAAACTTCACACCATTATTTCGTGTTAAACTTCACACCATTATTTGGAACAGATAAACATGTTTTCTATGATGGTAGTCTTAATTGCATCATTTGTAAATAGTTATTGTTTGTTGCATAATGTAAAATTGATAAATGACATCAAAATTATGGCTTTAAAGAGAATAATTTCCTTAAGATACCCTAACAATATTGATATTTTATGATATTTGACGTTGTAAAATCTGTGGTATTTTTCCTGGGCATGTTTGCAATAACAGGAAAATGACATGATGACATTTAAAGACAGCAAAGCATTTTACAATTAGATAACACAATATTAAAGGACAGCTGTTTACAACTCTGTCCATTGGTGAATTAAAATAAGTTATACTTAATTTGACAATCATACCACACATCCCTGTTCATTGGTGGTTGGTGGAGTATCATAAGATAGATGACCTTATTTTTTACTGATAGATTATTTTTATGACCACTATGTTGAAAATAAGCTTCAGTTTGATTCTGTTTAATTTTTTTATTGAGTTGTGACAACCTCAAATTATAATATGGGGACGGCCATTCAGGCTTCCAAACATCAACAGTTCTGGGGTTTTTTTTCAGTACAAAATCTCTCCTGTTTGCATTGAAATATAACCAAACTTGACAGAATTATTATAATCCCAGCTTTTTGAAGCAGTATTTAGTGATGAAGTCTATCAAAAAAAATTCCAATCTGTACTAAAAACAAAACTGCTCATGTCAAGCAAATTTAATAAATTCCAATAAAGGGTTAATGACAAAGTTCATGGTTTTCAAAATATACCCCAAATTATCAGAGGTGCCTTGTGGCATTATATGATTATAAATTCTACTTTAGGATTTACTGATACAAAATGGGTAAAAAATAAGACAGACAAACAAACAAATAAAAGAGGAGACTTAATTCTGCCATTATGACTGTAACAGCAGCCAATGATATTTATTTATAGATTAATTTCAATTGTATTTGTAGCCACCTGAAACTGAGACATAGCTTCTAGATTCTAGATTCTGTCAGGGGTGTCAGGTTTAGTCTGTGGCTAAAGTTTTTTTTAGACATCAATAACTTTATTAAACCTTCATGGAATCGTGTGCATGGAATTTTTGGCAATTTGGACAGAAGCTTGTTTATGACCAAAAGACAGTAATTCAGAGCAAAATTTTCAAAATAATTATTTTTATTTTTCTGTATTTTATTGATAAATGGATTTAGTTTTTTTTACATTTAACAAGTAGATACAGTCTGGGGTTAAAGTTTGCTACACATCAATTACTTTATCAAACCTTCATAGAATTTTATGAAACTTTGGCAGAAGCTTTTTTATGATTAAGAGATAATGTCTGAAGTAATTTTATTTTGAATTATTATATTTTTTTCATTTTCATTATTTTTCTGATAGATGGACTTTTTTTACAGTTACAATTTACAGACAGTCTGGGATTAAACTTTTTTAAATTTAAAATTTGTAAAACTTCATGGATTGTTATGAAACTAGGACAGAAGCTAATCTTCAAGACCATGAAAAAGCCTCTAAAGAAATAATTAAAAAATGTTTTTTAAATTCTGTATTTTACTGATAAATGAACTCACTTTTTAAGTCAACATTATACTTTTACACTGACAGCAGCAATCGCAGGCAAGACACAGGGTTCCGTGGAACCCCTTACGAATGTTTTACACTTAATACCACCAGAGTCATCTCTCCATCGAATATTCAATTGAACAATCAACAAGATGATCTGTACGAATCATCTATGTATTGAGTTGAAGTATCTCAAATTTTTAAAATTTTCTAATGGAATGGAGCCTACAGTAAACATTCTTGTACTCAGTTTTTAGCAGTCTTGTTAGCATCTTATTAAACCTATCTACTCTCTAAAGCATTATGTCATTTTGCATTTTACACACAACTTTGAAACACAAAATTTTTTTTTTAGTTCCTTTAAGTACTCACCATTGTATTTGATTGGGTTCAAAATATAAAATGACAACTAAAATATTTGTAATATTTGTATTTTGTTATTTGTTGCAGATCCCTATGTCAAGTTATGGCTGATGTATGGGAATGCTAAGACAGAGAAGAAGAAAACGTCAATCAAAATGAGAACATTGAATCCAGTGTACAATGAATCGTTCATCTTTGAGATTCCATGGGAGAGGATTAGAGAGGCTACAATTGAAGTGACAGTCATGGACTTCGACAAAGTGGGACGCAATGAAATGATTGGCAAAGTTATGTTAGGTAGCAAAAGTGGACCTTTAGAATCTCGACACTGGAACGATATGATCACAAAGCCACGACAGCAAGTGGCTCAGTGGCATCTGTTAAAAGACTGATGACTTCAGTGCCTCATCCACAAGCTTCACTGTGGCATATGTCAAAGGGCTAAAATCAGTTGTCATTCATTTATATGTACTCTATGCAGAAACATATCTGCCAAGCTATAATTATCTGCAGCAGTTTGAGAACATTTCTGTAATAAATAATGCCTCATTTCAGGTTTTCTGGTGAGTGCAGACATTAACACTTATTGATATAGTCCACATTTTCATTTCATTGTCCAAGTTCAATCAAGAAAATGTAAAAAAGACGGATATCATCCTAAAACCAATCTGCAAAATTGAGTTGGAATATCTCACTTATAGTTCCCATTTGTATTCTGCCATTTTGTCTTTTATTTATCCATGTCAGCAGCGATAGGAAATTTAAGCACATTCATATGCACAATTATCTCCCCCTTTTTGTATCTTCTTCCTGGTGGAATTACTTCTGTAAATGACTATATGAATGCTTTATTTGTTCAAATTTTGTACCACGATACCATAACTATAATTAACTTCAGATTTCTTCAATACCACTTAATTTGTATATTTGTCTAATGACCGTATATACATTTATATTTACGTTAAATAAACTGAATATTCTCCATTATTTCAATAACTTTTAATGTGGTTTATAATGTAAATACAAGCAGACGATAGGAATTATATTCTTTATGAAAAAAAAAATTCAATTAAGAAATGATGAAAAACAAATTTTTTAAATATTCAAATTGGTTCATAGGATTAGAGTTCTATCATAATCTCATAAAGTATTTAAAACCATATGTCTTACTAATAATGGTTAGGGAAATTCAAGTTTTAAATAAAGATAAGAGGATAAAGCTCCATTTAGGATTCTAGGTAATCATGAGAGGATTAATGGAGACTCAAGTAGCAGAAATGATGTTGATTTTTGTTGATATTTGAAAACTATAGAGTCTCGTTCAATTAAGTTATTAAATTATTTTGCTCTCATTATAGGCTAATTTGACTTGTCTTGTTGATTAGTATTATGCTTCCATAGCTAAATGGATATTAGTTCTGATATCAACCTTGTGTCTTCTCAACCACTCACCAGAAATCTATTACTTAAGGTATATAGCTGTGGCTAATTGTCAAGTATAATATTATGATGCAGTGTTAATATAGGCAATAATTGTAGTAAATGCTTTAAGGATGTCCACAAACTGTTCTTAAAAGTCACAAACAAATGCACTATTAATGAAAATTCTATAATAATCACATTTGGTTGTATGTCAACTCAAGTTTTTGGACACATGTATCAAATTCAGGACAAAGTTTTTTGGAATTTACTTGTTTATATAGTAAGATTTGTATAATATTTATGAAAGGATAAGCTGTTTGTATAGTAAGATTTCTATAATATGTATAAAAGGATGATTTATTTGTAAAGTAAAATTTCTATGATATGTATGAAAGCATGATCTGTAACAGTTTGTATAGTAAGATTTCTATGATATTTATGGAAGGATATTTTTAAGTTGGACATTTTTATAAATAGTTGTTATGAATAATTATGTTTCAAAATCTATAAATAGTTTTCTATACATATTTGAAGGGAGTTGAACTTCCAGATTTCGTGTTTGTATTCAGTGTTTTTCCCCTATACATGTTTATTCTCTTTTGGATTACAACTCTTGTGAAACTATAAACAAATGTTGAATTTGTATTAATTTTCTCCAGATATTATGATTGTGTGATAAGGTAAATTTTTGTTGAATCTCTAATGTGGAAGAGTTGATGAGATATATATATATATATATATATATATATATGTACTTTGATACAGGCATTGATTTCAACATACTTTTTTCTAAATATTCTGACAGATAAGACTTAACTTTTTTTCAAATAAAGAAAGTTAACTATAAAGAATGCATTTCTGTAAGGTTTTATTTTATGTAATTTTCTTTGTCTTATTTATTTAATCATGAGGGGGAAGGGGGAGGGGGTAGCAGGGAGACCAATAGGCAAAATATTTTTGCAATGAAAACCAGTCTACAAGTATGTCTGGTTTGTCTAAAAAGCAAATTATGTGTATGCAATTTAAATAGAATTCTAATTTAATTTGATATGATATGAAACATCACTTTTGATTGGATGATATCTGGTTGTCTGTTCCAGTAATTGTCGACTACATTCCATTATCAAAGTCAACTTTTTAGGGATAATTCAAATCTTTTTAATTGGAACATTGTATTAGTACATGTATTACATAAGAAAAGTTACAGTACTTTTTTTAATGAGTTGCCACTGTCAATTGGGGAGTAGACAGTCACAAATCTCTAATAAATTTAAACCCAGGAGTGTTATTCCTTATAATTCTCAAGTGAAAACTAAGAGTGAACGAAAGAATAAAATAAGAGTCAAAATATGTATTCTCATTTATAAAGTGAAGTAAAATGATGTTATATTATGTCATATTGAAGATCTTCCAATGGTATGAGAAATGTTGTAACATCTGCCTGAGAGTAGAGCTTCAGTGTGAACACAATGAAGGAAATGTTTGAGTCAATAGATTAAGTAATATTGGACTGACATATGTTTCCCTTGTATGAACATAGATATTTACACTAGAATAATAGTTACTGTGAACAAGACAATATTCCTAACAACTCAAAAATTAATAATTTATAGGGCTTTGTGTTTTTGACTTATTGACAATTTTCTCCTTCTCTGTCCTACTAATTTATCAACTGTAGTATGTTTGTATTTATAATAAATTAAACTGATTTTTAATAGATGTACAAAATCAATGCTATATATATATATATATATATATATATATACTTTAGTTTAATATTTTGACTGTGATCCACCTTGTTCTAAAGGATAATATTTTTTTTTTCATTTGTTAAATCTTTTCACCTATCAGATGCAAAATAAATTGTCCTTAATTGTATGAAGTTGTTTTTGTTACCTTTAATTGTTTTTGAGCCATGCTCATCTGTTGTAACATTCTTGGTTTTTTTTATAAAGATCAGGATTTACCATTTGATACTATCATAGAGACCTTTACCTCTTCTTTTGTATTATTATATTGAAAGCCATTTTTGTCTCTTTCACCTCTCTTTTGCATTTTACTATCAACATAATGTACAGACCAGACATATCTCTGTGTAAACATCTAATAATCATTACATAACACAATTGAAATAGCAAAAATACCAAACTCAAAGGGGAAGTCCATAAAAACTGACAAAACCAAAAGTTCCACTATATCAACCAACCATGTAAAAAAACTGTAATATTCCTGACTTTGTACAGGCATTTCATGAAGAATATGTTGGGTCTCTGGTGGAGAGTTGTCTCATTGACAGTTTTAACAAATCTTCATATTTTTATATAAACCTTTTATAGCTAGCTATCTAAACCTTCCACTTATATGACAGTTGTATGTAATTTAGTTATATTGAAAAAATTGTGTGAGCAGCCCAGATAGACATAATTGGTTAATGTGACAAAAATTGAGATGCAGTAGCCAAAACTGTGTAAACATAGGTCATAGATGAAAATGTATATAGTTGCTTTTACTTTCATCAGTGATCTTAATTCTCTGAACTTTAAATCAAAAACATGTCTGTGTCAAGTATGGTTACAGAGTTGTACATTTTACCAAATTAACAAAAATATTTGATAAGATTTTTTTCCTTCCTAAAAAGAAATTAAATATACTTTTTCAATGACCTTGCAACCAGAGAAAAAAAGTATACCCAATTATGACAACAAAAGCTTCCGATACAGTTATCCACCATAGCCAAGCATCACATGAACCAATCAACAATATAACACTAGAAAGAAGACGGACATGGGAGATGACCGAGTTTAGATAGTTTGTTATTACCAGTTATTTTTGCACATTACATTGATCAGTGAAAAACATACAAAAGATGATTATTTTTCATGGTTTCATGCTATTTGGTACTCAAATAAATGGCAACAGTTATTAACTGGTGATTAAAAACATCCATCTTGGACCGGAATTATTTCACTGTTCTTTAGATGTGGATCCTGAATACTCACTTTTATACTCTCTTTTAATGCCTTCTGAATTCATTCCAGTCCTTTCTCTTACATTTATATGTATAATGCCTTTTGAATTATCTTTCAGCCATTCCTCTATCATTTAAATGTACATGTATAATGCCTTCTGAATTCCTTTCAGACATTCCTCTAAAATTTATATGTGTAATGCCTTCAGAATTCCTTTCAGTCATTCCCCTTACATTTATATGTATAATGCCTTCTGAATTCCTTTCAGCCATTCCCCTTACATTTATATGTATAATGCCTTCTGAATTCCTTTCAGTCATTCCCCTTACATTTATATGTGTAATGCCTTCTGAATTCCTTTCAGTTATTCCCCTTACATTTATATGTGTAATGCCTTTAGAATTCCTTTCGGCCATTCCCCTTACATTTATATGTATAATGCCTTCTGAATTCCTTTCAGTCATTCCCCTTACATTTATATGTGTAATGCCTTCTGAATTTCTTTCGGACATTCCTCTAACATTTATATGTATAATGCCTTCTGAATTTTTTTCAGTAATTCCCCTTACATTTATATGTATAATGCCTTCTGAATTCCTTTCAGTCATTCCTCCTACATTTATATGTGTAAAGCCTTCTGAATTTCTTTCGGACATTCCTCTAACATTTATATGTATAATGCCTTCTGAATTCTTTTCAGTCATTCCCCTTACTTTTATATGTGTAATGCCTTCTGAATTCCTTTCGGCCATTCCACTAACATTTATATGTATAATGCCTTCAAAATTCCTTTCAGTCATTCCTCCTACATTTATATGTGTAATGCCTTCTGAATTCCTTTCGGCCATTCCTCTAACATTTATATGTGTAATGCCTTCTGGATTCTTTTCAGTCATTCCTCTTACATTTATATGTGTAAAGCCTTCTGAATTCCTTTCAGTCATTCCCCTTACATTTATATGTATAATGCCTTCTGAATTCCTTTCAGTCATTCCCCTTACATTTATATGTATAATGCCTTCTGAATTCTTTTCAGTCATTCCTCTTACATTTATATGTGTAATGCCTTCTGAATTCCTCTCGGCCACTCCTCTAACATTTATATGTATAATGCCTTCTGAATTCCTTTCAGTCATTCCTCTTACATTTATATGTGTAAAGCCTTCTGAATTCCTTTCAGTTATTCCCCTTACAGTTATCTGTATAATGCCTTTAGAATTCCTTTCAGTCATTCCTCTTACATTTATATGTGTAATGCCTTCTGAATTCCTTTCAGCCATTCCTCTTACATTTATATGTATAATGCCTTCAGAATTCCTTTCAGCCATTCCTCCTACATTTATATGTATAATGCCTTCCGAATTCCTTTCAGCTATTCCCCTTACATTTATATAAATAATTCCTTCTGAATTCGTTTCAGTCATTCCTCCTACATTTATATGTATAATGCTTCCGAATTCCTTTCAGCCATTCCTCTAACATTTATATGTGTAATGCCTTCTAAATTCCTTTCAGCCATTCCTCTTACATTTATATATATAATGCCTTCCGAATTCCTTTCAGCCATTCCCCTTACATTTATATGTATAATGCCTTCAGAATTCCTTTCAGTCATTCCTCTTACATTTATATGTATAATGCCTTCTGAATTCCTTTCAGTCATTCTTCCTACATTTATATGTATAATGCCTTCCGAATTCCTTTCAGCCATTCCTCTAACATTTATATGTATAAAGCCTTCTGAATTCCTTTCAGTCATTCCTCTTACATTTATATGTATAAGGCCTTCTGAATTCCTTTCAGCCATTCCCCTTATTTTATATGTATAATTCCTTCTGGATTCCTTTCAGTCATTCCCCTTGCATTTATATGTGTAATGTCTTCTGAATTCCTTTCAGTCATTCCTGTAACATTTATATGTATAATGCCTTCCGAATTCCTTTCAGCCATTCCCCTTACATTTATATGTATAATGCCTTCCGAATTCCTTTCAGTCATTCCCCTTACATTTATATGTATAATGCCTTCTAAATTCCTTTCAGTCATTCCTTTTACATTTATATGTATAATGCCTTCTGAATTCCTTTCAGTCATTCCTCCTACATTTATATGCATAATGCCTTCCGAATTCCTTTCAGCCATTCCTCTAACATTTATATGTATAAAGCCTTCTGAATTCTTTTCAGTCATTCCTCTTACATTTATATGTATCAGGCCTTCTGAATTCCATTCAGCCATTCCCCTTATTTTATATGTATAATTCCTTCTGGATTCCTTTCAGTCATTCCCCTTGCATTTATATGTGTAATGTCTTCTGAATTCCTTTCAGTCATTCCTGTAACATTTATATGTGTAATGCCTTCCGGATTCATTTCAGTCATTCCCCTTACATGTATATGTGTAAAGCCTTCTGAATTCCTTTCAGTCATTCCTCTTACATTTATATGTAAAATGCCTGCCGAATTCCTTTCAGCCATTCCTCTAAAATTTATATGTGAAATGCCTTCCGAATTCCTTTCAGCAATTCCTCTGATAGCTTTATAAATTCCTTTCAGCCATTCCTCTTACATTTATATGTATAATGCCTTCCGATTTCCTTTCAGTCATTCCTCTTATAGCTTTATATGTATAATGCCTTCCGAATTCCTGTCAGCCATTCCCCTTACATTTATATGTATAATGCCTTCCGAATTCCTTTCAGCCATTCCCCTTACATTTATATGTATAATGCCTTCCGAATTCCTTTCAGTTATTCCCCTTACATTTATATGTATAATGCCTTCTGAATTCCTTTCAGTCATTCCCCTTACATTTATATGTATAATGCCTTCTGAATTCCTTTCAGCCATTCCTCCTACATTTATATGTATAATGCCTTCCGATTTCTTTTCAGTCATTCCTCTGATAGCTTTATATGTATAATGCCTTCCGAATTCCTGTCAGCCATTCCCCTTACATTTATATGTATAATGCCTTCCGAATTACTTTCAGCCATTCCCCTTACATTTATATGTATAATGCCTTCCGAATTCCTTTCAGCCATTCCTCTAACATTTATATGTGTAATGCCTTCCGAATTCCTTTCAGCAATTCCTCTGATAGCTTTATAAATTCCTTTCAGCCATTCCTCTTACATTTATATGTGTAAAGCCTTCTGAATTCCTTTCAGGCATTCCTCTTACATTTATATGTATAATGCCATCTGAATTCCTTTCAGCCATTCCTCCTACATTTATATGTATAATGCCTTCTGAATTCCTTTCAGGCATTCCTCTTACATTTTTATGTTCAATGCCTTCTGAATTCCTCTCAGCCTTTACTCTTACATTGAAAAGAATAATGCTTTCTGAATTATCTTTCAGCCATTACTCTTACATGTATTTATATGCCTTTCTAACTTGGATCAGACACATTAAAATATATGGTGGGGTTAAAATAGTTTTTTTGAGTCCTCAATCCCCCCCTTTTTTATTCTCGATGCATAGATAAACAAAACGTACATAAAACAAATACAGGAAGGCACTTAATCAATCGGTAACAAAACCACTAGATAAATAATAAATTCTACCATAGTGAAGAATGCTCGGAGTTACTGGAAGCAAGCTCAAAGTATTTAACCTGCTGATAAGAAATTGTGTGATCGTTCACTTTATATCGGTTGTTTAACTTCATAGAAGATTTGAAATTCTGGAGTAATTGTCTACCTTAATCTTTAATCATTTCTGACCAGAGATGAAAGAGGTTACTCCTTGAGCACTCAAACATTTTTCATTCGTAATTTTCTTTCTGATATTGATTTGAAATAAATGTTTACACTCAAATTATGCTTCAAACCTATCCCGCCTATAGTTACATCACTGCGACAAAACGTCGCCAACCTTTTGTCACCTAAGAAACAACATGCTGATA